GTGGGGTGCGGTGGGAGGGGCAGAGCCCGCAGGTTGGTGCAGTGATGAGTGATGAGCGGCCTCGGGGCAAGCGCTGAGTCCGGCCGGCCGCCGCCCTCCAATACGCCTCTGCCTCGCCCTAGCCCCGGCTGGTTCTCCAAGGCCAGCTGCCCAGCGACCCGGGAAGTGAGTGCTGTCCGCCGGCCCCATCACCAGCCAGGCTCCAGAGGGCGACGCTCGGGAAGCCACCACCTCCACCCAGCACCGCGCCTCCCCGGTTCGCGCCGGCTGGGTCTGCCTTCTGGGAAAGTTCACCAACTTCCCACCTCGCGAGTCCAGGTGTCCAACCCGGGGGCACTTGAGCAACCGTGCCCGCTTCCCAAAGGGCCTGAAGGACGTGCATTTCTGAGAACCTGACGCTGTACTTCACGTGGGGGTGTCGCGCTGCGTGCTTCCCCACCAGCCAGGGGGTCCTCGCTAGGTCGGCCTGTTGGACCTGCCACTCCTCAGCCCTCAGGGGTCCACCTTGATTGAACCAGGCCGCCAGAAGCCATCCCAGCCACCAGACCCTGGGAGGAGACCCAGCGCCAGTCTACAACCTGGTGCTTGGACTCTGTTCTCTAGGTGTTTGTGATTGAGTCCTACGCCGTTTTTTCCGGTGTTTCTAGGTCCCCAAGATCAGGTTTTACTCCCACAAGGGTTTTCACATCTGCTTTCCTCCCGAACCCATTATAAAACAAGCCCAATGATTAAGGCGGCGTGCTAATAATTAATTCTTACATTTCTTTACCTTTTGCTCTCCCTTGTAGTCAGCATCTCAAAACACTTTTGGTTTGTTGTTTTAATCAGAAACCTGAATCATAACTAGTGTTAAGGACGTCTGTCCCTTCGAAAGTCTGGAAAGTGGATAAAAGTTTGAGAAGCATCCTGGTGGTTGGAAAGAAGCTGCAGAGGGTAAACTCTAGCCCTTTAGCCGTGTTCTCCCCCGCCCGCCCCCCCCCCATGCACACACACCAGCTCCCAATTGTCCTGGGAGGGTGATGATTTCAAAGAAAGACTCTCCAAGCTGGAATCTGACAAACCTGAAAGCAAAGGTTTTTTCACATTTCAGACTTTCATGACCAGGCCCTAGGTTCCATCCCAATCTCCACCCAAAACGTTATTGCAGAAATAATGGTTGAAATCAAATCTTTGGGCAATCAATATGAGGAAGAAGTAACTAACGACAAATACATTATTTTTCAGGTTTCTTAACAGCTCAACTGCTGTGCAGTGTGTGCCTGACCTGTGGGTTAGCTATGAACCTCACAGCTATTCTGCAAATAAATGTTATGAAGTCCATTTTCCAGGAAGGGAAATGAGGCTGAAGGAGAAACCACACTTCCAAACAAGCATTAAAAAAGCTTTAAAAGCTCATGGAGGGAGGGTTGTAGGTCAGTGATAGAATGCTTTCCTGGCATGGGCAAGGTCCTGGGTTGATCCCTAGAACGATAAACAAAGGAGGGAGGATTGTAACTAATCTCATTCCATTGTATAATAACTTCCATTTATGCTATAACAATTCATCGTCTCTTGGTTTCTACTGTTACAATTTATCCTTCATGGTTTTTGACTTTTTTAAAGTATAAGCACACAGTTGAAAGGAATCTAGTTAGTCTTTTGTGTTGGTGTTAGAATAACCTAACCGGATTGCCCTTTTGCAAAGAACAGTTTTTTTCCTCTCTCTCTCTCTCTCTCTCTCTCTCTCTCTCTCTCTCTCTCTCTCTCTGCATTTATGCTGTAGGCAATTTGATATTTCCAAACCTTGACATGTGATGGATAGCCAATTCAGAGTGATAATGAACTGGTCTACTGCAAAAGAGTTTAAACAAATGGTTTTCATATCAAGCCAGGTTTTTTATTTGAGTCCATTTTTATATCATACCTTTATAAGGGAAAACACCATGGTGTTTTTTATCATCTCCAATTTTTTACAAGTGCAAAGGTAACATGTATCTATAGCTATGTGTGTGCGACAGCAAACTACTGAACTGAGTGCTATAATCAACTCACAGATATTTGCTGTAGTCTAAAATTAGGCAAAGCATGGACTTCTACTGCACCAAGCTTATGCTCCTCAATGGAGCATGCCAGACATTAGAGTGGACCCAGCAAGTCAAGTAACTTATGTAGTCTTACTTACAGCTCCTTTATTTCTATTCAATTCTTAGGGTTTATTATTTGTGGCATTAATATGGAACTTGTTGGGTGATGTTCAAAAGAACATTTTACATCAAATTGAATTCTATTCCAACTATTAGAAGGAAGAAAAATATTTCTGAAGATGACAGGTTAGAATATGGGACTGTTGCACTAAAAATATTAGGAGACAATTAACATTACTGAATTCAATAATTACCCCCATAACAATTATTCCTGAACATTTTAATAGTGCTTAGGTCTGCTGAATGTGGCATGAGTTATGTATAATTTATCCTAGTAGCCCATTGGCATTACAAGCCAAAGCCATGTTTGATCCTTTACTGTGCTGATAGTGTCCTATTAATAATGACCACACAGTAAACCATGCTGAATATACAGCTTAATGGGTGATAACATCTCATAATCCATTTTTTGGTTCTTTGTCTTCATGGACACTCAAAATTAAAAGGCTCTGAGTTTAAGGCTGGTTAGATGACTTAGTAAGGGTGCTTGCCACCAAGCCTGACAACTTGAGTTTGATCCCTGGAATCCACATGGTATAAGGAGAGAACTGACCCGACTCCTGTAAGCTGCCTTCTGACCTTCTGACTCCACTAGCCCACCATGGCACATGTACACCCATACACACACACATACACACACACACACACACACACACACACACACACACACAAGCTAAATAAATAAAATGCCCAGTTTTTAGCACCACCTCCTTTCATTGCTGTTATCATTTTCTTAGTTTTTATTTGGTTTCCATTAGCCTCAAGTTCATAAAATGATGAGGGATATATTAATCAACTTCCTGTTACTGTAATAAATGCCTGAGGTAGTCAAAATGTAAAGAGGAAAGGCTTATTTGGGTTCAGTGTTGGAGGGTTCAGCCCATGATTTATTGATCCCATTGTAGTGGGGCCTGTATTGCATTACAGCAGATGGGAAGCTGCTCTCCTCACAGTAGGGAAGCAAAGAGAGGAAGAGGCAGCAGCTGAGGTCCTGTGTATCCTTCAGTGGCATGCCTCTGATGGCCTGAAGATTTCCCACAGGCCTCCATTTTTTAAAGGTTCCACCACCTTCCAAACCTGCCACAGGCCAGGGACCAAGTCTTTAAGTGAACACTTATTCAAACCAGAGTAAGGGAACAATCCTTGCTAGCTCCAATGACTGCTACAGAGATAAAAATGAGAAAATACTGCACAAACTACAGAGCTCTGTGTTATTGTTCTTACAACATTCAGGCACTGGAATGTTCTCTGCATCATTGTGATGACAGTTATCTTTCTTTTCAGCACTTGAGTCATCGCAAATGTTTCTTATGGAGACAGCCCAGAGCCAGGAATTCACATCTCATTAGTGTTTATATTTATTCTAGACATACTTTACCTTAGTTGGTTTCTGTACTTTCAGGCCTTCAAACCATATGGAATAGCAAAACATGTATCTATTGATTTCAAACCTAAAGTTAACAAATGTCATTGTCCTGGACTTGTTAATACTGTGTGAACTTAGGTATTTGCGTGGGCATGAAACCTAAGACCAAAAGTATGGAGAAAACATGAGGTATCTTGTTAAACCTTTCCTGTTCATAGTTATATCTGATATTTCCATAATATAACATGTGCTTATTCCTTTTAGGACATTTCTTTCATGGAAAAAGGATCTGAAAGCAGTCTTGGTATTTGCTGCCAGCTCCATTTCATTTTTCTGAAGGAGGAAATTAAAGCTCAGGGAGATTAAATAACCTACTCAAATCCATTGTCTAATACGTCACAGAGTTTGAAGTCTAAAAGCCAAATTCACTGACTCTAAATAAAGCTACTTTTCCAACATGTCAGATAAAAAAATTTCAAATGATCATTTCTTTGTATGTGCATATGTGTTTATACATGTATATGGGCACACAAACACATCTGTGTGTGTATGGATATGAGAGTAATGTTGGGTGTCTTTCTTAACTGCTCTCCACCTTATTTTTTAAGGCAGGGTCTCTTCACTGAACCTGCAGCTCACCAGCTCAGCTAGACTGCCTGACTAACAAGCCCCTAGGCTCAGGATTCACCTGTCTCTGCCACTGTCCACACCAGAGCTGGGGTTATATATGCACCCCTCTCACACCCAGCTTTTACATGGGGACTGGGTATTTGAGCTTAAGTGCTCATGCTTGTGTGACAAACATTTTATCCATTGAGCCATCCCCACAACCTGCAGCTTAAAAATTACGTTCTTTGTTTTTTATATATGCACTTTCTTCATGTATTGCTGTGTTTTGTCAGAGGCTTACTACTTATGAATAAAACATTTTGATAATTAGTCTTTCCCTGACAAAATACACTATGTCTTCCTAATTATCTTTACACTATACAAGACTTTACTAAAACACTGACCCAAGAATGACAATTCATTGCTGTCAAGAAACAGATCTTACAGCTTAA